AGTTAATTACATCTTGGTTGAAGGGCGGATTTCAGATTTTACAATTACAAACAATTAGGTAGGTACCAGACTGTATATGTTTTTTTTATTTATATATTATTACTTATTAGCGGAAAATATTAATATAACTAATGTCTGCTGTTAAATAAGTTAATAAACAGAAATAGGTGTGTTGTAAAATATACCGAACCTATAAATCACATTTTTTAGTATAAAGATAGAGAAGCTGATCCGAACCTGGAAACTGTTAAAAAAAAACAAAGCAAGACAAACTTTATCAGAGATTGAAAAAAGGAGGAGGTTTTTAACTCAGATGAAAAGTATCTTTTGGATTGCACCTGAGCTCGATACTCTGGTTGCAATCATTAAAGCTGATAGGAAACGAAAGGATCAAGACAAGACTGAAGATATTGCATTTTTATTAGACCAATTAGGAGATAGAAAAACTAGAATAGGTGGAATCGATACAAGGTACCTTTACTCTGTAAACAGGAGTTTATCCAAAATTAAAAGGAAATCAAATTTGCATGAAACCATGTAAGAGAGTGAATTCAGCTTAAATGGATCGGAGAAAGATGAAGGTAATGATGATTTTTCATACCCAGATCCAGATTTAAAGAAAAAAGTCAAAACAACTAATACTGTTATGCTTCCAAAAGATATTCTCAAGAGAACTGCTGATACTGCTGTTGGGGAAGGATTAAGTCATAGGCAGCATGCTTCCATGATTAATAGTATAATCGCTAAATCGGGTGGAAATGTAGCTGAATTTAAATCTTCAACCTCTACAGCATTACGCGCTGCAGATAAGGTCATTCATGATGAATCAAAGAGGATCAAGGATGATTTAAGAAGTTTAAGAAAAATCAATAAGAACATTTTAGCTCAACTCCATTTTGATGGAAAAGTGTCTGATATACTGTATGGATAAAAATAATACTGATGGGAAAAAATTGGAACAAGATCGATTAGCAATATTAATAAACCCTAACAAGGAAACGCACCTGTTGGGAATTCCACCCATTTCTTCTGGAACTGGCGAAAATCAAAAAAATGCAATCAGAGATATCTTAAATAGCTTTAACCTTACAGACAATATACAAGCTGTAACATTTGATACTAGCAGAATCAACGCTGGAAAAAAAAATGGAGCTGTATCTTTACTGGTAAATGAAGTCTTTCAACGACCAGTTCTATCTATTGCATGCCGACATCATGTCAATAAGCTACACATAACACAATTCTGGAAAAATTATCAAAGTAGTATTACTTCTGGACCAGATAATCTGCTGTTTAAAACTTTAAAATCAGCATGGAATGATCTTGATGCAGACAACCAGGTAGGTTTTTACAAAATTAGCTACCATTTTGTGAAATATTATTTTTTCCAAATAATTTTCTTTTTCTAATTTTGAGTTCTTTGAATTTTTTTTTTACGTTTTGAATAAATAAGGTTTTGAGAAGATTGACTATTCCAGAGGAAACATGGCTTCGTCATCAAAAGCATGAAAGCATAACGTTCTGCAGAAATATTATTACCAGTGGGTCTCTAAAAAAGGTAGCCAATAACTAGATATCTGAATTTGTAGATATCTATGTAGTATGTACTTTTATGTTGAAATTTTTTTATAAATTTTTCTTTTTTAATTCTATTATCCTTTATTATACTAAAATATAAATAGGTTTATTTTATTATACCTAAATACTTATTATTTTATTTCATTTTTAGGATGGGGCTACAAGGAAGGACTACATCGAGCTGGCAGAGCTTACACTTACGGTGCTTTCTGAGGACAGGTACAAATTTCGTACTTCCAGAGCAGTCCACCATGCTCGCTTTATGGCAAAAGGTAAGGAATTGTAGCTTCATGATAAAAAAAAGTTCAAGTTGCAAAAAAAAGGAATTTGTTTTACATTATCAAATATTAGTCTTTTTAAAAAATTAAAAAAAAAAGACTTTTTTTTATAGGTATCTACTACCTAAAACTCCAACTTATGATGGATGCTATACCTAGTCTGGAAAAATGGCTGAAGCATGAAATTACTGAAGTGGTAACTTTTGTCTCTGTTTTCTATACTACCTGGTTTCTCAAAGCTGAACTATCCGCTGCTGCTCCGAGTCAGGTAGGTACCAACTTAAAAAGTATGAAATATATATATATATATATATATATATATATATATATATATATATATATATATATACATATATATATATATATATATATATATATATATATATATATATATATATATATATATATATATATATATATATATATATATATATATATATATATATATTATATATTAAAGGGTTCTAGTTTGAATAAAAAGTTTTGATAATTATTAAAAGTATCTAAGAAATATTTTTTTTTAAAGAAAGATTAACAGTTTTTTGTTTTATCCAGGATATGAGAGTGTAGAAATAGTGACATTATTCATTTCTTGTTTTTATATTGTTTTATATTGTTGTTGTTTAAACTTATTGTTATTTCATTTAGAAACTAACATTGTTTAAGATATAGTTATAATTGAGAACAACGACTAACTTTTGTTTATGTTAGTTTCTTATGCATTCTATGGAATTTTAAAGAAACACTGGTATTTCAAAGATAAAAACTTCTTATCAGTGGTTGAAATTGTAATTCACTTACATATTCGTTTGAAGTTGTTTAATGTTTAAATTTATAGAGGGTGAAGAAATGGCACGGAATGCACTAGACTGTAGTTCAACAACAGCAAGTTACAGGAAACAAAACAAGAGCAATACACAGAGTAGTAAAGGGACCAACAGCCAAATGTCCAGATTGCTCAGAATCTTACAGTTTATTTACAGAAACATCCAGAGGATGGAACAAAAAACCCCACAAGCTGTGTCTAGACTGTTGGAAGAATCTCGCACTTCTAAAATTAACAACAGAATCATCCCAAACGATAAGAAATCGAATGCAATCAAAGATGCTGAGGCAGGTGGACTTGTGTTAAAGTTAAGTGCAATTGAGCATTCAAATAAAAAAATTAGATCACAAATGAAGACCAATGTGAAACGACCCTGCACAGGAATAAACCATCACATATTTACCCATGATGGATGGGCCACAGCTCAATTGCTTGTTCATCCTACAATTCAGCTGCGTGTGACTACTAACAAATCAGACTATGTCGCATTTGGTATTCCATTTCCTCCCATTATACCAAAATATATACAAGTTATTGCAGATACCGGTGCACAGTCCTGCTTATGGTCTAGGAAAGGGTTTGACAGTGCAGGCTTTAATGCAAACAATTTAATACCTGTGAAACATAGCATGTCGACCGCAAATAAAACCCAATTTCGTATAGATGGTGCAATTCTTTTACGTCTCGAAGGACAATAATCTAATGGCCACATAAGTCCAGACGCAAACAGATTCTACCTATCTAAAGAAGCAATGACCCAACTGGGTATCATCACTAAGGACTTTCCAGAGATAGGCAGTGC